CTCGACAAATTGGAGAAATGGTCTGAGGTAAACAGAATGAAGTTTAATAAGGACAAATGCAAAGTGCTCCACTTAGGGAGGAACAATCAGTTTCACACATACAGAATGGGAAGCGACTGTCTAGGAAGGAGTACGGCAGAAAGGGATCTAGGGGTTATAGTGGCCCACAAGTTGAATATGAGTCAGCAGTGTGATGCTGTTGCAAAGAAAGCAAACATGATTCTGGGCTGCATTAACAGGTGTGTTGTGAGCAAGACACGAGAAGTCATTCTTCCGCTCTACTCTGCGCTGGTTAGGCCTCAGCTGGAGTACTGTGTCCAGTTCTGGGCACCGCATTTCAAGAAAGATGTGGAGAAATTGGAGAGGGTCCAGAGAAGAGCAACAAGAATGATTATCGGTCTAGAGAACATGAGCTAGGAGGGAAGGCTGAAAGAATTGGGTTTGTTTAGTTTAGAAAAGAGAAGATTGAGGGGGGACATGAGAGCCGTTTTCAGGTATCTAAAAGGGTGTCAGGAGGAGGAGGGAGAAAACTTGTTCATTTTGGCCTCTGAGGATAGAACAAGAAGCAATGGGCTTAAACTGCAGCAAGGGAGGTTCAGTTGGACATTAGGAAAAAGTTCCTACCTGCCAGGGTAGTTAAACACTGGAATAAATTGCCCAGGGAGGTTGTGGAATCTCCATCTCTGGAGATATTGAAGAGCAGGTTAGATAAGTGCTGAGTCCTGCCATGGGGGCAGGGGACTGGACTAGATGACCTCTCGAGGTCCCTTCCAGTCCTGGTCTTCTATGAATTCTATGATTCTAAGGCTGCAGGGGGGCAGCCAGGACAGCAGAAGGCAGGAGGTCAACCCCTTCTTGCCAATAGTGAGTGGCCATGTCAGGCTGCAATTTGCCCCTGAGGCAGGGGATAGATGACAACCGGCAGTGGGTCACTGAGGCACAATGGGCGTAGGGAGTTGGGGTTCCCAGAGGGGTAGGTCCCTAGAGATTGGGAGGTCCTGTGGCAGGGCAGTACCCAGAGGGGAGAGCACCATGGATCTGGAAGGGGACGTGGATCCAAACACAGAAGTGGAGGAAAATAGCTATCAGCGGGGGAGACATCAGCCAGAAGGGGGTGCTGAAAAGCCAATTCCCAGAGTGTCCAGCAGGGGGCGCCCATAGGGTAAATCGCGCCATGTTACACTGGGGGATAACGGGTCGGGTGTTGACTCGCCATTCACACCTGTCTACTAATGGACGTCGACTCCTTTGGGGCAACATAAAGTCTTGTACAGTTGGGGAAGCCCCAAACTCAATGTTCCAGTAATGCAGGAAGCAAATCTTCACACACAGGGACAGAGCACGAATTCCCCCATGCGCCGCAGGTCTGGGCGTTTAAATGATACCTCACAAGGCTACACAATTTGCTGTGTTCATAGAAAAATAACCCTTCCAAACCAGACTGCGAGGGGACATGGCCAAGCAGGAATTCATAAATGAATTTGACACTGTCAAAAACACGTAAAGACACAGAACGGCTCTCACACGGCAATCGGTAATTTCCTCTTCCAGTGCTCTCACTGTCTCCTCATGGCTGGAGATGAGCCACGGCCATTCTGGTTTAATTAGCATCGATGTCACACTGCCACCTCTGTACCTTTCCTTTTTTTCTCCTTTCTCTTCAAGCATCTGAAGAAGTGAGGTCCATCTCACAAAAGCTTATACCTTAATGAATTTATTAGTCTTTCAAGTATCTGGTCTAGACAGTACTGGGTCCTGCCTTGAGGACGGGGGACTGGACTCGATGACCTCTCGAGATCACTTCCAGTCCTCGTATTCTATTATTCGATCACTGGACTTTCTGTGTTTAAGCAGACTTTGTACAACACATAATTATCTGGTTGTGGTGATTATGGGGGTCCCACTGTCCTGGATTCGCACAAGAAGAATAACACCCCCTAACCCTCCTCCCGCTAAAAACAAAGAGATTTGTGACCCAGCCCAGCCAAAAGCAATCAATTGGACAAAACCCACCCATCCCTCTGACCTCTTAAGCATAGTGGGTGTGTTCATGCAAATGAGGTTGACTTATGCAGTGCACATCCCCCACTCGACCACTAGGTGTCAGGGGAGAGCTAGGACAGACCCAGGTTACACTGGGGACCCTGATGGGACAGGCAGGTTGCCCGAGGAAGGAAGGTGCATTCCCATGAAACCCAGCGCGTACAAAGCAAACTGACAAAGCTACTGCAAATATAGTTTAATTTAATTTAATTAGAGCCTCTAACACGGACCCACATCGGTTGCCTTTTCTCTTTCCTGCTGCTGTGTTCCTTGGCTCCGAAACCCACCTGGGGCCAGATCCATGAATATAAACATGGAGTTTGCCATTAGGTACCACATGCCTCCACCCCACTCCCCCATACACCCCCATCTACTCAGTTCCCTCCTTTAACACCAGTCTGCTTGTTTCGAGGGATAGCCTTGGGCGGTACTGGCCTGCACTCAGCATCCTGTTGAGTCTTTATTTCCCTCCCGTATGGATTTATTTGGCCTGGCCTCCCCCACCCCTCGCTCCTTTCACAGGCTGGTATCTTTGGAGAAGAATTCTAACCCGAGAATCACCCCCAGTTCCTTGCTTGAGAGTTGGGGATTCCCCCAGAATTAAACACACGGGTCACCCCCTTTTTCCTCCCAGCGTTACTCCCCTGTGTGCCTGGGTGCCTGGTGAGTTTCACCTTAAAAGAGACCCTGAGTATCCCAGCGGGGATGTTAGGTAGTTGGGGACCCCTCTGTTCCTCCTTGCTGCAATCCCTTGTTCCTAATGGCATAAACAACAGCAGTGCCTCCACCTTTCCACACTTACTGGTGCGTCTTGGGAGCCTCCAAGAATCAAGTATCAGAGGGGTAGTTGTGTTAGTCTGGATCTGCAAAAGAGACAAGGAGTCCTGTGGCACCTTAGGGTGTGTCTTAACTACATGGCTCCGTCGACGGAGCCATGTAGATGAGAGTGGTCGGCAGAGGGAAATGCAGCCACAATTTAAATAATTGTGGCTTCATTTAAATTTAAATGGCTGCCGCACTCTGCCGATCAGCTGTTTGTCGGCAGATTGGGGTAGTCTAGACGTTCCCCTGTAGACAGGAAAGCCTTTTGTTGACCTCCCCGTTGTGCCTCGTGGGATGCATCTGACGAAGTGGGTCTTTGCCCATGAAACCTTATGCTCTAATACATTTGTTAGGGTATGTCTAGACGACAGGGTTTCGTCGACAGACGTTTTGTCGACAGATACTGTTGACGAAGCTTCTGTCGACAAAGAGCGTCTAGACGACAGCCAGTTCTGTCGACAAAGCAAGCCGCTTTGTCGACATGAGAGGGTAGATGCAAAGGACAGATCGACAGAACTCTGTCAATAAAAGGCGTTATTCCTCGTAGAATGAGGTTTACATATGTCGACAAAACTGCTGAGTTTTGTCGACGTTATGTCGACATAACTCAAAGGCAGTGTGGACCCAGGTATAGTTTTGTCGACAAAAGTCCACTTCTGTAGACAAAACCCTGTAGTCGAGACACACCCTTAGTTTATAAGGTGCTAGAGGACTCCTTGTTGCTTTTCCAGGCATCAACTTATTCCAGGAATAATCTGGATCCAACTCCAAAACAACCCTTATAACTAATATACATCCGGTGGCTTAGATTAGAATTCACACGCCTTTACTGAACAACATTAAGACACAGAGTTTAACAAACGACAATGGACAGCAATCAATTAACCGAGCACACGGAAATAAATAACACGTGTCTTTATTTACCCGCTCCCCACATACCCTAGTTCAGTGACTATCTTCCTTTGGCTCTCAGAGTCCCAGATACTGCCTGGCCTGGGCGTGCTCGGAGACTGGCAACTGGTGCGGAGACAGCCCTGGGCAGGGTGTGTGTGTGTGTCAGTCCAGGGAGCAACAACTGCACAATCCCTCTGCCTCCGGAGCAGTCCCCACCACACGCCAGCAGCTCTGGGGCCCTGGGCAGCTCCCTCAGCCACTCTCCGGACCCAGAGTCTGCCTGTCTCGTGGGCTGCATTCCGGGCAGCACTTTGCCAACAGCCCTAGTGACTCCCAGCACCTTCCCCGCAGCCCTTCTCCACCAGGGCCTCCCCTGACAGAACCAATCTCCTCCAGGCCTTGCAGCAGCTGGCGAGATCCCAGCCCCGGCAGGCTCCAGAACCCGCCCGGGCCAGCCGGCTCCTCTCTCCAAACTGGGGCTACCAGCTCTCTCCCTGCACTGCCTGGGAGAGAGCAACGGTTTCCCTCCTTTTTCGCAAGGGCTCATGGGAGTTGTAGTCTCTCGGGCTGGATGGCAGCACCTAGGACCCTCCCAGGCAAAGTCAGAGGTTGCTATAGCAATGGGGCCTACACACACAAGATGTTCCACACAGTCAGTGTATTCAGCGGGAGATAAGCGGAACAGCAGCGGGTACTACAGCCACTTGTAGTCACCTGTCACACTACTTGTGAATTTCCCCCGACACATGATCCGCTGCAGCAACCACAAACAGACTCCTGTTGGCACAAGGACTTTTCAGGAGCCCTTCCCCATCAGTGGCCACCATATCCTCCGTGCAGTGATCGCCTCTCTAATATGGCCGATTGCCTTCAGGGCAGCCCACAGGGCTTACGTGTGGAGTAATGTGAGAAATCCCTCCTTGGGTTCTACAGGCATCCGTAGTAACAACACAGGGAGCTCCTTGGACAAGGGAAGGGGGGTGACATAGCCAGGGAATGTTGTAAAGTTTGTAAAGGCAGACCATACACAGTTCATTTCCTGTCATGGCAGGTAAAAGGCGCAAACACGATTGGTGACCAGGGCTAGTGAGTTGGCCGCAGAATTAACCCTCCTTCATCACAGTGGCCTCAAGGACATCGTCACGGAGACAGCCAATTGATTTTAGTACTTTTGAAATAACTTCCGAGTGTAGACAGGCCCTGGGAGACGATTGCCAGGAGGGTGTTAGCAATAGCTTACCAGGTGACTGGAGGATGGGAGAAGCAAAGGATGGTGGGGCAGAGATACCTCCCTCTTTGCAACCTCAGGAGTATTGGCATTAGCTGCAGCCCCTTAACACCTCCTCTTTTCTAGGGATAATCTATGTGTTCCCAGCACAAGCCAGTGGCCCAGCAGAGCCAACTTAGTGTCCGGTCACTTTTCGCCTTTGGAGGAAGCTCTTGTGCATGAGGATTTTGCCGTGGATGGAGCAGAGTTGAGGGTCCCCGGCTGTGTCGGTGCTGGGTGATACGGTCCCTTTCAGGCCCCTGCAGGAGAAAGCAAAGCAGGAATTGACCTGTCTGGAGACTCAGACACCTGGCCTCCCTCCTATGCCTGGAGCCAGTGTGTGTTGGGGACAGGAACTAGGAATCGGAGCTGCGTGCCAGGTTTCAGCCGGGAGCCCCAGGGATCCCAGGCTGAGCAGGGCCAGGCTGGCGGATACTTGGCTGGGAGAGGGGGACTCAGCAGGGGGCGCTCTCCTCTGCCTCTTATTGCTGATGCAGGGTGGTCTCAAGGGAGCGCTGTGCTCCCAGGAGCATCACTCACCTGGCCTCCTCCATGGTGAACAGACCCCGACAGCCATCACAGCGAGGATGCAGCCAACCACAAGTACCAGGACACCAGTCACATTTGGGGGCTGGGACTCTGGAACTGTCCCAAAACAGACTGAGTCAAGGATCTTCCACACTCCCTGTGCCCTTCCTCTCCCATAGGGTGTTTCCCACCCCCACATGCCCTGCCTAGGAATCCTGAACTAGTGCCTCCTTCCTCCGGCCGGCCTGTCCCTCCTTCACACAACCCAACCCCCCTCTGATTACGCCCTTCCAGCATGACTATGAACTCCCAAGAACGGTTCTCCAGACAGTTATGCACACACATTACAGTAGCACCATCTAGGTTGTGTTCTGTTTACAAGCAGTCCCCGGGTTACATGGATCCGACTTACATTGGATCCCTACTTACAAACGGGGTGAGGCAACCCCGCACTAGCTGCTTCCCCCCAGCAGACCAGGGAGACGCGAAGCTAGCGCCCCCCCAGCAGACCAGGGAGACGCGAAGCTAGCGTCCCCCCCAGCAGACCAGGGTTGAGAATAAAGGACTGAGGGAAGTGAGGTGTGGGAGAATAAAACTGAGCTCTGGAGAAATGTTTGGCTAGAGTTTCCCCTACAATATGTACCAGTTCCGACTTACATACAAATTCAACTTAAGAACAAACCTACAGTCCCTATCTTGTACGTAACCCGGGGACTGCCTGTAA